GTTTGCAAGGCAGACTCTTGTATCGCAACCCTCCGCAGGGAGATGGTGCTGCATAAGCGCGTCTCCCATCTTCCGAACGTCATCACACTCCATCACGCTTATGAGGACGCGGAGTACTTCGTGTTCATCATGGACTACTGCAGCGGAGGCGATCTCGGAACCTACCTTGGCGAGTGCGGCCAGTTTGTCGACACCCAGGAGGTGAAGAAGATTATGCTCACGCTACTCGACACCATCGCAATGATACATGCGGAGGGCGTCTACCATCGCGATCTCAAGCCCCACAACATACTCATCAGCAAAGATCGCAGTCAGGTGTACCTGGCTGACTTCGGACTCTCCAGCGACGTCTGCGAGTGTCAGTCCAGCTGCGGTACCATGGCGTACATACCTCCAGGTGAGCTGTTCATGGTGCCACATATGTCTCAGAATGGAATGGCTTACGTTTGTGTCCAGAGCTTGTCCACTTCGACCCCTCGCGCAAGGCTGACGCTGCCAAGGCGGACATGTGGGCCCTCGGTCTGATCCTGTTGAACATGATCAGCGGAGGGCTCCCCTGGCACCGCGCGAGCCTTACTTCTTACAACTTCTCCGAGTTTGTCCAGGACCCGAATTACCTCCTCGACTGCCTTCCCATCTCGCGTGAGGCCAACAGCATCATCCGGCGCATGCTCCGTGTCAACCCCCTCATCCGTGCCAACCCCATAGACATCAGCGCCATGATCCTCGAGCTGGACTCCTTCTGGCGATCGTACGAGGATCCCGCGCCGAACGAGTGGGACACTTTGTCCAAGATGCGGTCGACTATCGCGTCTGAAATGGAATACAACTTTAGCGCGGCGCCGAACACTCGAGCCCGCCAGACGGCGGCCATGGATTACGCAACTGGGTCTGCTGCGACCTCTGCGACACGCTGCTCCTCTGGGAGGAGCTCTCTGAAGAGCACTCTTGTTGTCAGCCCGACAGGGAGTGTCATGATGGTGAAGGACATGCGCGAGAAGAAGGATATGGGAGAGCGAGTCAAGTCACTCGTCCACCGTGTTACGCAGAAGTTCGCGATGCGCACTTAAACTATCGATTGTCACCACGCCACACCCTTCCGAAAAGCCGACAACGTTGCGGGCCTATCGTCATCGTGGCATTTGTATCTTTGTACTCAGTCAGATACCCACACTCGCACACGAATAGAGCCATTCTTATCATCATATTTCTGTCGATGTCCGTTATCAGGTACAAGGAATGATACAGCAGGATACTCTGAGTCATTCGTCATGTTATATCGTGAAGGGAGACTCCCGTTAGAGGGGAAACTCAAGCGAGAGCTTAGTGAGAAGGTTGAACCCGTCGACGCGATAATCGTCATTCGTGATAGTAAGAGGCGTGAGACCGTCAAGGAAGGTAAGGAGCTTCGGCGACGAAGTCGTGTACTTTGGCCAGGAGATACCTGTCTTACCATTGGGATCGAGATTGTTGACAAAGTTGATGAGGTAGTCTGCCATGTCTCCACCACCGTAGACGTTGATGATATCTGTTCCGTGGGCCTGCGTACAGGGTCAGCTATGATTACGAATGGACCGAGTGTCGACGACATACCGCTCCCAGGGCAGGGATAGCCTTGAGGCGTTTGTTCACTGCGACGAGTGGTCAGCTCAAAATCCTCTTGAGATGAGAAGCGTCCGTTTTGCGACTCACAGAAAGACCACGTTGATTGCTTGCTTGAACGGTTCTGCAGGAAGAACCTCCGAGGTGCCTGGAAGACGAGGTCGCCTTGCATGGCCGCGAGCCGCTTAAATTCGGGCGTGAGTGCGTTGAGTATGCTCGTGCCGAAGGGTGATCCTTGGGTGATATCCGCCGGGTACACCTTGAGGAGTTGGTCGAGATCGCTCTCTGAGAGCTCGGGGATGTAATTGTCGACGATATAATCACGCAGCCCCGCCTCCGTCCTGCCGTCCTGTACGTGAGGGCCTCGTCTGGGTCAATGAACTAGTAGTACCTACGTGATGTTGAGGGTGGCGAGCGAAAACAGCGTACCCTCGTCATCGCAATCCTGTTCAACGACGTTGAATAGACCATCTTTACGTGCTAATGAATGTACTCACGCCGGTCACGAAGGGAATATTAGCTACGCTTCCTTGTTGAACAAGCTTTTGCGGAGCATCAGGGAGGAACTTGCCATCGGCACGAGGCAGCCATGTCAACCTCAAAGACTACCAATAGCGTCAGCGAGTTCGTCAATCCATGACGAGAGAGCACGAGATACCTGAGGAGCGAAGATGCCCGGTGACTTGTCCACCGCCGCCTTCAATGTAGCAAAGGGAACCCCTCTCAGACACTGGAGGGTGTCCGCTGCTCCGGAACAACCCGTCTCCACCACGAGCTTATCGTAGTCACCTTGGCCGCTGGTGATGTCCCCCACGGGAATGGGCGAACCAGACTGCATGAAAGCCCCTCGGAAGAGCCCTTCCGTATCTCCACCGTTGGTCAGCATTTGAAGCGCGACGGATATCGCGCCGGCGCTCTCGCCCCATCTGCGAGGAAGCAGCACGATAAGCGATACACACATGGGGACCCACACACATACACAGAAGATCACTTAACGTACATCGTCACCTTGGCCGGATCTCCCCCGAATGCGCTTATGTACTTCTGGACCCATCGGAGCGCGAGGCGTTCTAGAGCATTTCCGGTGAAGGTAGTATGAGTGTATGGAACTGAAGAATCAGCGATGCGCCACGTACGATCTTGCAGACCGAGATTCCCCACACCAGCGTCCTTGACTTCCTTACTGGCCAAGAAACCATACGCTAGGATGACAGTCAATGCAAGTGCAAGATCTCGAAGAGACGTGTCATACCGGATACACTGTAGCACAATTCAGTTTCGAACGGGCTACGTATGTAGCACTTCGAACTTACCGGTAGTTCATGCTAACGTAGACCACAGGCTCGTCGAGCTCGATGGAGCGCTTCACGATAACACCGCCATCATAACTGTGTGGCAGATATCCTATTCAGTATCGGGGTCCGCACACCACCAAGACTTGACTCACATGTCCGGGCCGCCTATCTCGAAGCCACCTGCGAGAGGCGTCAGCCAATTCCATGCAACGACTTCTTTCGGATATGAAAGTACCGCCAAATATCCACTGTCAGCGGCGATCAGACCTCGGGCATGTGGAGTGTGAGAATGTTTGGAGGAGCACTCACGACGGCAACAGGAAGCTTCGCACCGGGTTTCGTGCCAGCCGGTATGACGACATTGACAGACAGGCCTGCAAACGTTGTTAGGAAAGAGTTCGAAAGCATGCGAATGTGTCGGGCTCACAATCTTCCGCTGACGGAGTAATGACTTGGTAAATGGAGTTCACGATGAAGTCAACTGCGTCTTCCGCCAAACCGGACAATTCAGGGAAGTCGAAAGCCTGCTGCGGACATGCCGGCCCAAAGCTCGTCGCCGTGTGAGTGCCGTTGTAGGGGTCCACTGCAACAGGTAAATTGAACCGAAGGTCTCCAACCCTGCGAGTGATGTGAGTTCAGGGTCTGAAGCAATGTCGAGGTGCGTGGCGGAGAACTCACGGTGCTTTGCCAAACGGAATGCCAAGGAACTTGCTGGTAACGCCGTCCGAGGTGCCCACGAAAGTCCCCTGGTCGAGCTGAATCGTGGGGGAAGCACGCTTCTCTGTGGGCACAGCGAAGGTGGTCCCGACGAGGGAGAGAAGGAGCAGGAGCTGTCGGAAGAACATCTCGTCTGAAGCGCGGCGGGGTGACGGGCTCGGAGCCTAGAGGGCCTCGGGGGGGTGGTCACCTCACGTAGGATACTTATGCAAGCGTCATCCGTACCCGGGAGCGGCACATGTGCCGGATGCCATCCCAACGCCGCAAACGCCCTGCGACGTCCGGGTGTACGGCGGAGGCATGCTTGCATGCGTGCCATAGGAAGCGAGCTGAAAGAGGAACGCGTGAGCATGCATCACACAGCCGCATCGAGGCGGTGGGAGCAACAGGAATCACAACCTGCACAGAGACTCGGACGATCACACGACTGAAGCAGATGGAGCTGGAACGAAGCAAGGTCACATTGCAACCGAGGTGACCTAAATCAGGATGAGCTCTGCGCATTCTGGGTGGTACCTGTCCCCGTCCGGAGCTCCGAGAGCAGAGCTTCATGGTGATGGTGCATGATGGCTTGTACTCAGCAATACATGGCTGTGGAAATGCGGGCCAAGGCAGCCGAGAACGCATCCCAACCTGAAGCAGTAACCACAGAGGGTATGGCTCGAGCGCGGTACCTGAACGGGGGAAATGCGGGGTAGTGCGGGGAACCAGCAAGTCGCGGATCCGAGGGCTTCTGCCTCCGTACAATGTCGAAAGATCGCGACGATGGGTTCTGATTGTCGACATGTACAAGGATTCGCAGCCTTGTGATTGACTGTTGGTGATAGCCCTGTGTCATGGGATCTGGGTATGACCTCAGTAGAAAGAACTAACACATCCGGTAACTTCAAGTCCGGAAGTCATCGGACGTGCAATAGACGTGTTCCAAACCAGCCTGGGAGTCCACGACTGAGTTGAGCGTCTGGTTCATGAGAGGGTTGTTCTGCTTGCCTCCCAGTCACCTGCAAAGAATTATTGCCCAGCCATCCGAGTGTGATTGCACGTGTTTTTTAACGTACAAATGAATACAATTTGAGCCGATGATATCGATTACGAGGTCGAGCCGGAATACAAGGAATAAACCGAGTAAGCACCGTACATATGGTTGAAAGTTCAGCTGACGCAGTACTTACAGCTGTAAATCGGCGGCGACTGGCACTAGTCCGCTCATACCTTCGATGTTCGTGTGGGTCCGGAGAGGAATGCTGGGTTGGTCAAGGTGCACATGAGTACTGTCCAACCGTGACGGCGGTAGGCGCGAGAAATAGAGTGATTCTATTACTAGGCGGGCCTTCACTATGTAGGACTGCGCAGTCCTGATACATTGTTTAAATTTTTAGTGCTCAAGGCGAGATGGCCGAGCGGTCTAAGGCGCCAGAATCAGGTAATTTCATTGTCCCTCATCTGGTCCGAAAGGGCAGGGGTTCGAATCCCCTTCTCGTCATGTTTTTTCATTGGTCCGGCATAGGGACCGTATACCTTGCACAATGTCTTGATGGCACCACTCCGACAACGAAGTACGGGCGGTTTATGGTTCCCCATACTCAAGTAGCAAGACGAAGTGACAATTGCATCATCGGGCGCCTAATGTCTTGATTAGAACGCGGTAGGAATTTCGGGGCTTTCTTGCGCACCACGTTGATCGACTCCGCCGCCCACTTGTCTGGCTCGTCCTCTTTGTTGCGACAGGACCTGTAGGGTAGGATCTTGGTGTCGGTTGGTGCGCGGGCCATATGGCATTCATCCAGTCTCTTCGGTCGCATCTCAACTTTTACCGGCTCCATCTGCTCGGGTTGTGGGTCCTTGTTGGTTTCATGCACAATGCACCTCTTACCTTCTACGCAGCGTGATTGTACCACTAATTGGAGCTGCCATCCTATTCGCAAGCAATGGCGAGTTTTCTGTCAGGTTCATCGACGCGCTCTACATCTGTGTCAGTGGCGCGACCGGAACTGGGCTCGTCACTGTCGACCTCAGCTCTCTTACGGTGTGGCAACAAGTCATACTCGTGATTCTCGAGCTCATAGGCAACCAAGTAGGTGTCGAGCAAGTGCCCCCCGATATCATCACTGAACGCTCGTTGTTAGGCCTTTGTAGCATGGGTCGTTGTATATGTTCGAAGGTACTAGTCCGTCGACGTCTACTGCCCACATGTCCTGTGCTTACTCACTATGGGAACAGATGGTACTTTCTCCAAAACCTCAAGCACATAGTCAAGGCCGAATTGTCGAGGTCAAATACTATCCAGGCCCCTCAAGATATCTCTCCTTCTCTCCGCCACATCCGTGAGACCCTCGCTCGCTTGAAGAGAGAAGGCTCGGATAAGAGCGAGGCTAATCCACGGCCGTGGACGAGATCCCGGCCGCATACTACGGATGGGTCTACATTGTCTCGAGACTCCAGACCCGCGATACGCCCAGAGATGGTACGCAGATTGGACATCGCGCCACATCTGATCAACCCCATGGGTTCGCAAGCACCGACATTACCGTCCGAACGAATGGCAGACACGACAGGCTTCGATACGCTCAGTCGGGCAGCGAGCCGCCGGTCGCTACGGTCGTCGGTTGTGACACCGTCATGTCCGAACCCCCCCGCAGAGGACGACTTTGGGGGCTTTCCGGGACCACGCCAGCTCTTATCTCGCATTATCAGCAAGCTCTCGCCTCGCTTCAAGAATAGACTCAAGCGCACTCTGACTGTCCCGCGCACGGAAACGCTTGTACCACGCTCGGGAGGTGCAGTAATGGCTCCTGGCGGTCCCGTCAAGCCTGTCCCCTATCTGAGTTTCAGCGCCATTGTTCGGAACTCGACCTTCCACGGGCTTTCGGAGGAGAACATTGAAGAACTCGGCGGCGTAGAATACCGGGCTTTGAGCGCTCTGCTATGGATCATTCCATTGGTAAGCCTGCGGGATTTTGGCTACTTGCCATACTGACGCCGGATATCGTGACAGTACTACCTCGGATTTCTGTCTGTCTCGTTCATTGTTACAGCACCCTACATGTCATTGCCTCGTTGGCAGGAGAACTACCTACCGCCCTTGCAACATAAGAAGATCAACCCCGTCTGGTGAGTGTGCACAGAGGGCATTCTGTGTGTTGCACTGACTTGTTGAGAACGTTAGGTTCACCGCTTTCCAGATCGTCGGAGCGTGGGCAAACACTGGTGCGCATGGGCGATCTCATGTGATTCAAGTGCTCAGTTGTTCGCAGGGATGTCATTGGTTGACCAGAATATGGTTCCTTTCCAAACCGCCTATCCTCTGGTCATCTTCCTGGTGATCTGTGTTCTCGCCGGAAATACGTGTCTGGTGAGTCCCATCCCTGTCCGGCTGTTCGGCGCCGCTGACTACAGGTCATTGCGTGAACAGCCCATATTGTACGTCTTGGCTCTTCTGTCTCCATCGTTGTGAGAAGCACGACTAAACACGCTCAAATGCAGTCTCCGCTTGCACATGTACGTCACCCTATTCGTCCCCATCGGCATCAGTCCATTGACGTCCGAGCAGTTGGCTCCTCAAGAAACTACCCGGACGTTCTCGCATGAAGGAATCACTTCATTTTCTGCTAGACCATCCTAGAAGGTGTACGATTTACCTCTTCCCATCTCGGCAAACGTGGCTGCTCTTCGGGATCGTCATGGTGCTTAAGTGAGACCAATTAGTCCTCATGCTTGCCGGGTACGAGCTTGCTCAACAATGCTTCCGTGACACTCAGCTGCACAAATTTACTTTTCGACCTCGTTCTCAATATTGGAAACCCGGCTACGGAGGCCATCCCACTTGGCGTAAGAATCATTGACGCCATCCTGAATGCCGCGGCGTGCAGGAACGCTGGCTATCAACCAATCCCGGTATCCGAGCTCATGCCCGCTGTTCAGTATGTTCTACTACCTACTTGGGGCTGCTATAGCATGCTCACGATCGTTTCAGAGTGTTGTCCGTTATCATGATGTACATATCAATCTACCCTATAGCTATGAGGTACGGCCCTTTTGCACCTGCACATTCTCTACACTAATTAGCTGTCAGCGTACGCGCGACGAACGTCTACGAGGCGAAGTCACTCGGCGTGTACTCCGACGATGACGATGACGGTGACGAGCTTGACGACGACGCTCACTGGAACCAACCATCTGAGTCCCGGGTTGCGATCTGGGGCAAATACCTGATGCGGCATGCGCGGCGGCAACTATCTTTTGGTATTGTTCATTTCTGGCGACTGTCATTCGGTATCAACCTCGCTCTGTTTTATAGATATGTGGTGGCTCGCCGTATCCTTGTTCCTTCTGTGCATTATAGAAGTGCGTATGCATATTTTGTTCCTTGTTCCGTTGTCGTACTGACCTCCTTCACAGCGCGATAACCTGATCGACCCCGCGAAGCAGTCATATTTCAATATCTTCGCTCTCAGTACGTATCTATCGCATTCGATGTCATGTCCATTACTCACACGTAGACGGAAGTCTTCGAGATCGTCTCTGCGTATGGGACAGTCGGGCTATCTCTCGGTATACCCGGGGTACGTTCATCTATCTCTCTATGTACCCTTTCTTACCGCGTGGTGCAGTTCAACTACGCACTTTCCGGCGGCATGCACACACTCTCCAAGTTGATTATTGTTGCAGTCATGCTCCGCGGCAGACACCGTGGTCTCCCCGTAGCGCTTGACCGCGCCGTGCTCATGCCCAGCGAGTTCCTTCCACCACCTAGGAGTCGCCCACCGAACAACAATGAGGACAATAAGGGCTTCCAGCACGAGACGGAGCTTGCGGACGTCCCCAGTCCCCTGCGCAACCCGGAGGAACTACAGGCGCGTATGCGGATGCGTACACGCACTATCAGCCTGGTTGTCGAGGAGCGGCGCGACCAAGGCGTGCTGAAGGAGAAGGATGCAGGTATGCCGCCGTGGGTAGCTGAACACATTCCCGAAGGCAGCCAGGGCTCGAGCGTAGAGGGTGGCGAGCAAGATGGTGGCAAGCATGCCATATGATGTATTGTTTTGAGGAGACATGACGACATGACGAATGACCGTGACGTTCTCAAATGCTCTGTACTTGTACTTGATCGCTTTCGTTGGTTGTCGCAGCTTTTGTTTTTGGATGTCATGGACTTAGATAGACTATATAGATCACTCTACTTGTGGTGTAGTGCATTTCACAATTACTTCGCATGATGGCTTCATACTACATAAGTCTCGTTCTATTCCATGTTATCAGGGTATCGTATATACAAAGGCGAAAAAACGTCCACATGGTATCCAAGACACACGGAAACAACGAAGTATATACAGTTGAAACATAGCTTCTTCTATCCACTTCACTCGAGCCAGGCAGTCATTATGCTACACTGAACAAGACAAGTCCACGAAAACCCTTGACTTACTAAGCCTGGTTCTAGACGTTCAGGTCGGTGAGAGAGAGTCCGATTCGAGACCCAAGGGCCCTGCGGTCGTCGCACGCAACCTCTCCAACGTTCGCTTCCAAAGACGGAAGTGTAACCGCGGTGGCCTCCGGGGTGACAATCAAGCTACTCGCCGGAGAGGACGAACGCGAGCTTGTGGAACTCCCGGAGGACCCCGAACCAAACCCCGGGAACTCCGGCACAGGCAGGGTGGGATGACACGAGGCGCGCATGCTGAGGTCGGGTACCACGGGGACCGCGGATTTCGCACCGACGACAGATCCGACGTCCGCGAGACCGTCGCTCAGCACCTTCGCAGAGTCAATAGCGGCATCCGCATGTGGTTGCGGGTAGGCGAGCGTAGGCGCAGTGCTCTGGGTGTATCCGGTTATCACGGAGAGCTCGTCCTCGTAGCGGAAGAACGTGTCGAGGTCAAGGACTGCTTGGCGGAGTGCAGGGAGTGTGATACGTGCAGCAGGGTTCAACACGAAGGCTCGTCGTATGATGTCGTTCGCCCCCTCTGAGATGGGGAGCACATCGAAGAGGAAGTCGGGGTTTTCGATGAACTGGATGAAGCATGGGTCGTCGAGCGTCGCACGCTCCCAGGGGTTGCGACCACTGATCATGTTGACAAAAATGACGCCGAGGGCCCATACATCACTGTATGGAGTGGAATACGGCTTGTAGCCAGAGAGGTGTCCGATGCATTCTAAATCGCAGAAGTCAGTAATCGACGTACTAATACGTAAAGTTATTGAGGACGAACCTGGGCTCATGTAGGCCGCCGTGCCGCAGTAGAACTCCTCGACCCTAGGCCTATTCGTCGCCATACCGAAGTCGGCAAGGTATATCTCGGCACGATCCTCGCTCACGAGGATGTTCTCCGGCTTGAGGTCGCGGTGGTATACTCTCGAGCTATGACAAGCTTCCACAGCGTCGATAAGTGAGATGAACGCTTTACGAAGTAGCGCATCGTTGTCGACGTAGATCCGCCTGCATATGGGATCAAAGAGGTCGCCGCCCCGGCAGAGGTCCATGAC